TTACACCAAACACACCACACACATCAAACACATTAAACACATCAAACTCACCAAACACATCAAACTCATCGAACACATCAAAGACACCAAACACTCCAAACACATCGAACTTGCCAGTCGATAGCGGCAAAAATATAAAAATCGGTCCGGTAAAGAGCTGTAACTAAGCGTTACCAGAAATTAAAATGAAGGAAGCCTGAGAGTTTTTTAGTAGAGAATATGATAAATGTCAATTTATATCTGGTTTTAAATTATAGAATGTCGTTTCAAGTAAATGAAATGAAACTTGAAGACCTATGATAGTGTGTGTGTTGGTAGCATCCCTCTATTCTGAATGAAAATAAACAAATTCACACACTAAACACAACAAACACACCATACAAATCAACACACGAAACACATCAAACACACCACGGTTCCTTGGGTGCCAGGTACGGCAGTCCCGAGGGGTTGGGGTTGGGCTCCTTGTTTGCAAGGAAGATTATTCCCCTTTTCTCAAATTTCGTACATTTAACCCGGTTAATATCAATACACCCAGTTTTAGTCAATCCTGCTTTATATTGAACGACATATCGAAGATCGATAAACAACCTATACCGTTGTTTAATAGATGCAACTGTATTTATCCCAGCTAATATAAGTTCATCCTAATTCAGTTAGATTCATCCTTGCAGTAACAATGAATTTGATTTTAAATTGATTAAATTTCGAATAAATTAAAGTGGATTTATGTGTCATTAACATAACAAATATGCACATACTTTCTCAAATTAAATCAAGCGAAAACATACCTACATCACTAAATTTGGGAAATTATGCCATTACTGAAGGTAAGTTTTTAGCTGAAATGTTAATGCATGATTTGAATAGATAAGCATCTAAAGGAAGTTAAGTAGTATTAATGAACATTACAACAATAATCTATAAAAAAAATTAAGTGATGTTCTCATTATAATTTGACAGAATCTATGAGGGGGTTGGGCCGCGGAGCGGCCAGGGGGCGGACCTCTAGTTTTAAATATAAAAACTTATACATACGACTTAACTACTGCGATCATGAGTGTGCTAATGCTTGTTTTTTTGCCAGGTTTTTCGAAAGCCTATGCGGAGGCTTGGTTTATTCAATAATTATACATTTTAAATTTAAAGACGTATGTGACTTAACTGACTGCGATCATGAGTGTGTTAATGCTTGTTTTTTTTTTTTTGCCAGGTTTATCGAAAGCCTATGCGGAGGCTTGGTTTATTCAATAATTATACATTTTAAATTTAAAGACTTACCTATACGACTTAAATTACTCGATTGTGGCTGTTATATTATTTTTTGCTGATAAGAGATAGATGACAGATGAGATTCGGCATACCGATCGCTCACCAATTCGTGGGAAATTACAATTCAACACAATCACTCATCAAAAAGTGCATAAAAACTTGTCCTCGCGAACGACTCACCTCCCAGGGCTGGCCGTGTCCCGTGGACCATCAAATTCAAACCCTAGGAAGTTTTAGAAGTAAGTATTTCTTCACAATGAGGAAAAAGTAGTATCAGGTCATGAACACATGTGTAGCCCAAGGCATCTATTTTGACCTCCAGTGTCGGTTTGGCTCAAAAATTCTTGGGGTGCTGATGCGATATCGCCTCCCCCCCCCCTCGTAAGTAATTGCGAGGGTCTGGAAAAGTTCGAAAATCCAGTACAGGTATGTTGTGGTTTTAAGCTACTTGCTTTCTATTAAACAAAACAAAAATACATTTTGACAATTCTATCATTCATCTCCACTTCTTCGCTTTTTTATTTTCTTAGATTTTTTTTAAAAAAATAAATTTTTTTTTGCAATTCTGAATATTTTGCATCAATTCTGCAAAAATTCAAAAACACGAAGAATAAAAGGTTACTCAGAATAAATAATGGATTCTAAAACAGAGTAAAGATGTGAAACCCTTATAAAAATAGGAAGTATAATTGTACTGCATTTTGCAATTTGGAGCTAAAAATTCTGTCTCACTCGAAAGAACACATATGTGCATAGAGAAACTAATGGCACATACGTTGTTTTTAAACCGGGCCAGAATTTATAGTTCCAAATTGCACAATGCTGCTCAACTAGTACTCTTTATGCACACTAAAAACCAATAACTCGGCATCTTCATACAAATCAAATTGATTTCCATCGAGTAGGCGCACCTAGGTCATTTTGCCGCGGGGCCTAGCCTTCCACCACCGGGGAGTCTGAAGGGTAAGGAATACTCCCCAGTTCTGAGGGGGGTTCGGGGGAGCCTCCCCCAAGAAATTTTAAATCGATTTACACGCATTTTGGGGCTTCCGTGACGAATATTTTCCTTCTACGTTTATCTAATTGTTTAATCAAGGGATGCAATTGGACTTAAGGATGAATTGACAATTGATAGGAGTGATCATTAACTCAATGAATTTTGGCAATGATTAGGTTGCCAAAAACTTAAGAGAGAGTACCTAAAGGAATCAGTTTTGAATAGAGAGGAGATGATGGCGGCCTCCTTCTCCAACTTTCCATAGGAGCCGCACGGGGCCCCAAAGGTGCCTCATCGGGCCCCAAAAGAGCCTCACGGGGCCCCCTAGGAACCTAACGAAGCACCATAGGAGCCTCATGGGGCCCCAAAGGTGCCTTACCGGGCCCGAAAAGAGCCTCACGGGGCTCCATGTAGGAGCCACACGGGGCGGGGCCCCCTAGGGACCTCACGAAGCACCATAAGAGCCTCATGGGGCCCCAAAAGTGCGTTACCGGGCCCCAAAAGAGCCTCACGGGGCCCCAAGAGGACCTCACGGAGCCCCCTGAGAAATCATTTTCTACTCCCTCCGTTTCATGCTCTCTGCCGTTTCAGGGGGCCCCATCCACTTCGACACTTGATTCCTGGCTCACAGTATGAAATGTTTTTTTCACCCCTCTCTCATTCTTTTCTCTTCACAATTTTTTCGGCCGGCGTTCCCCCTTTTTCGCCTTTCTCAAGTTTTTGAGCCCCTATCGGGGCTTCTGAGACTATCGTCAGAATTTTTGGGATGCTAAAGCACCCCGAGCCAGACCGGCCCTGATGACCCCAGGTCTTCCAAAAAACCCTCCAGTCTTGTTGTTTCGGAGCCCTGCTTTGTCAAGATAATAAAGATAGAAAGAAATAATAGATGAAGAAACCTTTCATTTGAAAATATTTTGATAAGTAAGATACACATTCTCTCTGTGTTTTAAGTTGTGGAAACTCTTTGGAAAAGTATCCAAGGAGCCAAAGTCAATAATTTGTGATTTGTGAAAAAAAGAAAGCAGCGAACCTGGAGGTGAACACAGGAGCGACGCAAACATATGAAATGCATAGATACCTACGTATTAGTCGATACCGTAATTAGATACAAGTATTTAATACTGCATAAAAAAGACATTAGATATGCATGAATCTGTAGTATTTGGCTACTAGGGAACTCAGTTCAGTAGCTGTAGGTAGGTGCGTGTCTGCATTGGGTATCAAAAGTTGAGGAAGGAGATCTTTTGTAACTCCTCGGCACATATCACGGTTTTGATGAATGACTTCACCGAACAAAATGTGAAATTTACACTTAGCATTCTGGATGAAAAGAAAGTCTTCGAAAACTCACAAAATGCTGAATTACCCTTCATAGCAGTTACTTTTACATCCTGACATTGCTAAATCAATTGCTGCAGCGGTTAATGCGGCGTTATGTTAGTTCTCGCACACTATTTTTACATACAGAATGTTAAATCAACTTCATGTTTTTTCGGTGTTGGTAAAAGAGTGAGCGCTAATCGTTGCAGGAGTTGCAATGAGGCTGCAAGGATTATAATAATTAAATAATTCTGGATACTTTGATTTCACAGATCGGCTGCACTTTTGGGCCGTAAAGGTTCCATAACTTGGCCTCAAAATTACCGATATATCCGTCTACCTGTCCCTACTCGAGGTTCCGGGGGTACATATTCGTCTTTTTTTAAACACAAATAAATTTTAAATTATTGTATGGTAATAAGAAGTAAGAAGAAGGCGGGTTGAAAACGGATATTCTGCCAAATTGTGCACAAAAGAGGTTGTTCGGGCGGACAGTGCCGTAAAAATAAGCATTAAAATATGAATTTGAAATGAAGAAGGGGTTGAGTGGTGTTGTAAAATTGTGCAAAAAAATTTAGTGGGTATTGCATGTTACCCTTTCTCTTTGTGAGTTATGTAGGTAGCAGAGTTGTGGATGTTACGCCTTCAATTGTAGGTTTTGCAAAAGCTCTGTGTATGTTGCCCCTTCAGTTTGTAGGTTGTATCATAGAAATGTGTATGTTACTCCTTCAATTTGCAGGTTATACAACAATTGTCGTACAGTGCCTCTTCAAATTGTGGGTTATGCAGCAGAGTTTTGTCGGCTGCCCCTTCAAAATAAGGTGATACCGCACTATTGTGTTTGAATGGGGTTGCTACAATCTGCATTAAGAATTTAGGATGAGTAGGGAGCCCCTTCGAAACGTGGTGATACCACAGTGTGTTTTGGTGTGAGGATGCAAAATTTGCTATTCTAAAAAAATTAAATAAAATAATGAATTTTCTAAAAAATCTTGAGAAATTAATAAACTCAATTAAGAAGTACCTACAAACTTAACCATTGCTCGCCTCAGTATAAAAAATTGATGCATCGTTGAGTCTTATTACACACTGGTTCTGCGGAACCGGGTACCATCGTCCCAGTGTGTACAGAGAAACGGTCAACAGAAAAGATTTATTTGATAATAATGATTTCCTGAATTTTGATAAATCTAAAAAAGTCTTTGTCTTCTTCCGAACTAAAACTTAAACATGGATAAGACCCGGGAAATGACAGTCGGCTCCGGTGAGAAAACGAAACTGGAGTGTAAGAGCATTATACCTACTTTATCGGTCATACTTTAAAATATAGAGATGCTCAAAACATTTGTGACCGTCACTAATTACAGTTAAGACAATTTAGCATTTATCATACACAAATGCACTTACTTACTTTGCTACCCTTTTCTGCGAAACATTTAGGAATACAGTTTGCAGAGGCTCCAGTTTGTGAGAAAATGTTGTAATTATTAGAGCTGGTTTCCCTGTTATCTGCTTTCTTCGTTATTCCAAAATCCTGTCTTGTATCATAGTATGGTATATATTGGTTCCTCTGGTCATAATAAGGTGGGTATGGAGGAATTTTCTCGTTTCTTTGATCATACCTCCATCTGGAAAGACCGGAGTCATCCGTTTCTTGTCGATCCTCCTGAAAAAATGGTAAAAAATACAAATTATTTGAAACGTTAGAACTGAGAATATCCGCTGCACAAGGTCTACTACAGAGTAGAATCAATGTACAAATTTTCTTTCAATCATCTTGTGTTGTATGTAAGTAAAGGTGGAATTGACACACCAAAGAGAAGAAGGCACTGTGAAGTCACCAAAGAGAGCAGTAAGGTCGAGTGTGAAGTTTTAAGAAAATTGATTGTTTGAGCGAATAAACCTTTCGTCCTCCTCTTATCTAAAAGTTTTCAGACTACACCCGGAAGGATAGGTACCTACCTACTATTTTTCGTTTGAATATGATGAAGAAATTCACAAATTTTATCTCCAACTGTAAGGAAATGATCAAATATCGTGCTTATATTTATTTTATGCCAGGCAAGACAGCCGTACCTACCTAACCTTGCAGTAGAAAAAAATGATTTGATATCCCTGTGGTTGGACTAACAACACTTCTAAATGATGTTATCTAAGGGAATTAGTATTACCTACAGCTATTTTAGCGAATCCGTTTTTGCTACTTAGCAAAGAAAATATTTTCGGTGTGTAAGACGTAATTCTTATACAACTGTTCGTGCCTAAAGTTACTCGCATAATATATGCATCAATCTCTTCTCTGCTTTTGTTTCCTCATGGATAAAGTGATTATACACATCAAAGAACGATAGATAAATCTGATACGAAAAACAAGTTCCAGATGACCTTTTCAGATCTGCATATCTTCTTGACTAGTAGCTTATCTCATAAAAGAGGAGATAGAAAATCTTAAGATTCCTAAATGATTGAAATTGGTAGGGCAACGGTGTAAGTAGCTATCTTACCGCTTCAGTGCTAAAAACGGCCAGCCACGTCATGAACGCAAGGAAACTGTAACAGAGCAAACGCGATTAAATGTCACAGAAGTTAATACATAAGAGAATCAGTGTGAAATCTGCCACAGTTTCTAATCTCTTTTGCCTATAGAGCAACTATAAACTGGCGTGACTCTGAGTGAGGGTTGCAAACAACCATTGGCATAGCATCCTCACCACCTTAGATGCTAGTATCAACCTAGGTACTTATCAAATGAACAGGTACCATATTCAATTATTCTATATTGTATTGAATACTTGTACCTATATATGGTATTTAATACGTAACTAAGTATCTAATTTTTGCATAAAGTTCCTATGAAGGTAAGGGACTAGGTTTCGCTGCCGTCTTTTTTTCAGAAATCACAAACTCTTGGGCTTTCCTCCTATTTGGATACCTAGTTTTTCAACGAGTTTCCAAAATTTAAAAGAATGAGAGAATTTTTACCTTGGTTTTTAAACATAGTTTTAAATGAAAATTTTTAAACATTCCTCACAAAGCGGATTTCAGAAACTTTAAATCCCATTCAAAGAGGGATTTTCGGAAGCGACCTTGGTTCCTGATAGCGGCAATGAGCCATATTGGTGTTCATGGCTTATTGTTAATTTAGCTCACTATATAAAAGGACGCATCGATAGGTATAAGAGCAACAGGATAGTTCGATCTTCATGATTCTCGGACGGTATACTAGGAGGAAAACTGTTCACGCGGGGAAGGTGAAGCCTAGTTCAAACCCGAAAAGGTTAAAACGAGAATAAACAATAGAAACGAGCTTCGTCAAAGGCTATCCCAAAAGTCCTGAAATAGTATTTTTTTGGTGTTAACGGCACAATTGCGAGTCATCGGTTAAGGCCCGACAATATTATCTCCATCGGGTTTTTACTAAAATGCATCGTAGTCGGAAATGGTCTATACTAAAATTTTTCGCAACAAACCGGAATGAAATGTGAATAGATTTTATGATAAGATAGATAAAAAGATATTACATCCTACTAATTTTTTACCGCTTGTAGTACCACCCGACATTGAATTCAATGAGTTAGCGAGAAAATGTGATAAAAATGGTCCGCTAAAAAATAGGTGACATCACCTCATGTATCTAGGTCAGTTTCCTTTTGAAACATGCGAAGTCACGTAAAATGATGGGTAATATCACGTAAAATCGCCTATAAGTGAGGTTACCCTAAGTCATAGGTGATGTCATTGTCTAACACCTACACCCGTTGCGTCAAATAACGTCAGGCCTTGTTGGATCCCCAAGGATGCTTTTTGCCTTGCGATGAAACCATGTGCTGAAGCTGCTTCTCACCAACTAATTTTATTGCTGCCGGGTATGGACAAGCCTTTTGAAAAATTGTATATCAAACGTTTAAACGCAATAGAATGTGAGTATTCAACATGTATCTATTGATGCTCTGTTTGACTTTCGAGCTCATCATTCAACGGTGGATCAACTGCATCGAATCACTACAGTACCCAGCACACTCCTTATGGAAAGAGGCACTATGATCGATTTTTATTCATCTACAAATATAGTTATCAAGTAGGTAGGTAGGACCTATTGCGTATTGCAGGATTTTATATACGTCGTATGAATACATTTCAAAACATCAAAAGGTAACAGTTTTATAGCAATTAATAAAAACTATAAATATCCTATGAATATTCCTCTCTTTTTGTTTAAAATTGTACAGGGTGATCCATGCAGACCACCCGTCTCCTATCTTTTTCTCGAAAACGGCGGAGAATTGAGCTTCGGGACCAAAACTTTCATGGGATAAATCGACCCCAAAGAATCGAATGGAAATATTTTCAGCCTCCCAAAATGACCCCTAGGGGGGTTTTTTTTTGGGGGGGGGCCCTCCCGTTTCTCGCAATTTTCAAATAGGAAGGGTATGTTTTGACTTTGGATTCGGAATCTACGGTAAAAAGTAAGAACATTCTATACTTTGCACTTTTCCCCTAAACCCCCATTTTTTGGAGTTATGGGGCATTTTCGGGCCTTTTTGGGGCGATTTTCAATTCGATGCTGTAAGCGGCCAAATTATCCAAATTTCAAAATCTAAAAATCCCTTGAGAGGAGAGGTCAATATCTTTTTATTGATGTGCCACATGACCCCTGTTGCTCCAAAATTTTGGGGGCCACGACCCCCCAAAAATTTTGGGGCTTTGGAGGGCCGTAAGTCGAAAATTTCAAATGGCAAGGGTATGTTTTGATTTCAGATTTGGATTCTACGCAAAAAGTTACGGAGATTTGATATGGCGCAAGGCCTCTTCGCTCAAAATTACTGAAGAACCCCATTTCCCCATAAGAAGCCGTGTATTTTTGGAGAAAATAAGGGGCAAAAAAAATTTGAGAAAACAGACCTTGCGCCATATCAAATCTACGTAACTTTTCGCGTAGAATCCAAATCTGAAATCAAAACATACCCTTGCCATTTGAAATTTTCGACTTACGGCCCTCCAAAGCCCCAAAATTTTTGGGGGGTCGTGGTCCCCAAAATTTTGGAGCAACAGGGGTCATGTGGCACATCAATAAAAAGATATTGACCTCTCCTCTCAGGGGATTTTTAGATTTTGAAATTTGGATACTTTGGCCGCTTACAGCATCGAATTGAAAATCGCCCCAAAAAGGCTCGAAAATGCCCCATAACTCCAAAAAATGGGGGTTTAGGGAAAAAGTGCAAAGCATAGAATGTTCTTACTTTTTACCGTACATTCCGAATCCAAAGTCAAAACATACCCCTCCTATTTGAAAATTGCGAGAAACGGGAGGCCCCCCCCCAAAACCTCCCCTAGGGGCCATTTTGGGAGGCTGTAAATATTTCCATTCGATTCTTTAGGGTCGATTTATCCCATGAAAGTTTTGGTCCCGAAGCTCAATTCTCCGCCGTTTTCGAAAAAAAGATAGTGGACGGGTGGTCTTGATCACCCTGTATTAATGCAATGTTCACTTTCTTAGATAGGTACGAGATGGCGCAAATGCAACGTTTGTCCTGATATCGCCTGGATACTCAGGAAAATCATACAGATCTTCAATCTTATCGATCAACTCTTAGCAATTGGCCGAAAGCAAATAGACAGATTTAGCTAGCATTACTATTCTTTCTAATTACGAAAATATAGAATCCAACCCATCTTAACAGAATTCTCTAGGTATCTGTTCTTATTAGAGTCCCTTTATACCCAGAGTTAAGACAACTCACTTTTGGTTGGGCCAGGGTTGGGCTGAAAGTGGCCTAAAAAAAAATCCAATTCTGATTCGTTCTCGCTCATGGAGGCCGAAACGAGTGCACCAAGATGCCGGTATCTCGAATGTGAACAAGAATAATGAAAATATTACCTAATTGTGGTTTATCAAGAGTAAATTGTTATTTCCATCGGTCCAAAATGAAAATAGATTAAGAAATTATTTACAAACCAATCTCATTTTCTTTTTAATTGATCAATTTGTTGATGTTGTTGTTTTTGTGTGACAGACATCGCAGGATTCCTGATCCTCATTCCTCAATATCCGTCGTTTGGGTGCACTCGTTTCGGCCTCCATGCCCAGCCAAGGCCGGCTGCCAGTCAGCTGATAAATGAGTTGTCTTAACTCTGGGTATAAAGGGACTCTAGTTCTTATCAGTCAATTATAGCAGGAATTCAACGTCTAAAACTTCCTTTTATATCCGGAGGATTACCCCATTCTCCCATCAGTTTTGCCATCCCTGAATTTTTAGGCACTTTGCAATGGCTCATAGGTACCTATATAGCAAACCAGTATTGTAAATACGTATCTATTACCCTGGTAAAAATTGGCCATATGATCTGTGTTCCAAAAGACCATAGACCTGTTGCCGGCTATAAAATTTCCTAGGGCTTTCCATAGCCGGCTATGCAGCATCTTACAGCCATTTATTGCCCGAGGCGATGAGGATACAGCCAAAAGTTATAAGAGCTAAAGCTAAGGGTTAAAATATGTAGACCGGCAATAGCAACTATAGCCCGGCTATATAATTTTTGATCGCTTCGTATAGCCCGGCTGTATTATTTTCTGCCGCTTTCTATCGCCTAAAAGGAGCCAGCTAGGTATAAGAATTCCTATGGTATTTGGAACGCAGCTCCTATTTACACCAATTTACCAGGGAAATATTTACCCTCCATCATTTTCATCATTTGGACGGATTCAAACAAAAGTTTCCATTATACTTTGATTTATGATGCAAAAGACTGAATCGTTTTCACGTTTTTCTTTTACGAGGACTTTTTCATCATTTCTGGTCGCTTTCGGCAGCTTTTTCCTATGGTACATTATAGGGACGAATTTGACCCCAATCCCATTTCTCGTCCTCTAATTTACTCTCATGTTTTAAGTGGAAACCAAGCAAATTACTACTTTGAAATTCTCTGCGAATTTCCCCTACATTTTATAGAATATTCTCACAAGGTTGCCTACTTTTTTGTCCGAAAAAATAAGACCCGAGAGGAAATTAAGAAACCGTTGTTATGTTCCAATTGATTTTCGCTATTATAGGTAATCCAAATTAAAACAGGACTCCTATGATCTTAGAAAAAATCAACAGTTATTGAAAGAAACTTATTGCCGTCCTTTCTTAAGTAAAAAGAATGAAACTACCTACATTTTAATATTGCAACACGTCTACTCGCAAATTGTATTTTTAGTGGGAAATTGTTGAGCGTGTTTAACCCAATAAAATGGTATGGACAGGTAGATATTCTATGTTCATGCATTTTCAATATTGTTTCCATGTTGACAATACAGAATAGAATCCGTACATGGAAGCATCTGTACTGAAGTCTTATTGACTTATACATATCGACGGTGTAAGTTGGCAATCACAAAACTGACGGTGTAAGTTGGCAATCACAAAACTTGGTTTGCGACGTCGCAGACTTCCTGTCATACTTTTTTTTTAACCGGAAACTACTCAACGGCGACGCTTTAAAACTGCCGTGATTTTTCTTCTCGGTGCGAAGAAAATTCTGCAAAAACTTCTAGGAATGATGTCAATTTGTCCTCCCTTAAAAAACTAACATAGAGGCGGAGATTTTCAGACACTGCAAACGAGTTATGTGACTGCCGACTTACACCGTCGATATGGATTCCACATAGAAGAGTCTTGTAAATAGATTCTATATCGAAGACACTTAATGTATCCATATGGAATTCATACGCATGGATTCTTTAAGGATCCATCTGTACGGATTCCGTGAATGCATATGGAGTCCAAATATTGATGGCTAAATTGCGAAACCTCGTACCTCCATCGCGGTGTTTCAAAATTTTTGCTCCAGTATAATTTTTTGGGGGAGAAAAAAGCTGACTCTGTGGCCTCCAATCTATACAGAATATTCTGCTGGCAGAGACGAATAGTCGATAAAGTATTCAAGGTATTACGTTGAGTAATTTTCCTCAGAAAACATAAACTAATATAGAAAGTCTGCAACGGCACGAACGGAGTTCCGTGGTTTCGCACTTTGGCCGTCGATATATTAATAACTTTGAAAGAGAATTTCTATCTTGATGCTATTTGAAAAATTGAAAATGGAGGGAGGATTTTCCTGTGGAATCAATATTGATTCCATTTCATTGCGACACTTGGATAACTGAAAATTTTACTGATTTCCTTCGCCTATTTACAGCCAAAAGCAAAAATCAGCACAACTTTGGAAAGGCTCCACAATAATACCTACTCTTGAAAATTATATTCTTGAAGATTCTGTTTGAGTTTATTTTCCAACCTTTACAAAGAGGTAGGTACGATCTTTCATCTGGGAAAAAACAATTTACAGAAAAAAAACGATATTTTCGAGCGATCATTATTGAAACGAATAATTCGCGTCGATCATCTTGTGACCTAATGAAAATAAAGATTATGTATAGGAATGGAATTCTGCTAATATTTTAGTCACTCAACTAATATCTACGAAATCTCTACTTACATCAAATGTACCTACACTGATACAGTTAAATCTTCATACTAATATCAATCGAATCTCAACTGATAGTAAAAAATCTAGGGACATCCGTTGGGTCCTTCTCCTCGTTTCCGGTCAGTAATATAGAGACCTAACATAGAATCCGCTAAAGTTAAAATAGACATTGAGTCTGCAATATTTGATAACTCGGAAACTGGTCATTATGGGATTAAAAATATAATGTACATAACGTAGATATTTTAAAGTTTTACCTATTATGTTTGCTTCTCAGGAATAGCACTGCAATAAAAAAAAAAAATCTTTAATATGAGTAGAATTTCGCAACAGATATTGATGGAATATGCGCTGTATGATGTAAGTAGAATTTCTACCGATGGTATGTCGGCCAAAAACGTGCAGGTGTACTCACCATTTTAAGCAGGGATTGGACATTTAAACTAGGATCTTTTCTCCGACTACCCTTTTTTTTTTTTTTTGACTGAAAATGTGCAGGAGACCTGAAGGAACTAATCGGATTAGGATTTACCTCGCATTCATATGCGGTGACCGTGGCATGGCTCCACCGTCGAACGTCACTGATTTTGAAAGCTGACTTCATTCACGGCGCCCGCTGGAAGATGCATTTATCACAGAACCGGGGAGAACACTTGGGGCCGTCTGGATCGCGAGCGGTCATGAAAACCGGGACCGCGACGACTCGTAAGAAAACGCACGGGGACGGACCGATCTCGAGGCGCACTCAAATGCTCTCGAAGCACCACTAGTTTCGACTCGGGTTCAGCGCTGGAGGATTTTGCCCCGCGCCGCCCCCCTGCAACCCCGCCGGGCCCTCCAACGGGACGCGGGGGCCCCAACCTTCTGGATTCCGGACGATCGGAAAAGCAACCCACCATGTGAGTCGCGCCGTGCATCTCACAGTGTCGACTTTGCAGTGCGCCCGCTACGGCTACCGGCCCCGGTGGCTAGAATGCCTTTTTTTTGCAGTATTTTAGTTTGTCTCCTCCTCGTCAGCCTCGTCACGGATTCTCATCAAGCCGTAAGTCAATGTTTTTCTCACTGCATGTATGACTGTCCGCGGGAAAGCTCAAAAATTAACTATTGATACCAGGCAGGGTGAATGATAGTGCTCTTTAAACATTTTGGAACGAAAAGAGGCCAAATATATCACACCAAGTCACAGCTACAGACGTTTAATATTCCTTCAGTTCAAAAAGTGTAGTTTCAAAAAACAGCTTTGTCGTAATTTGCAATGCTACAGGTGGATCTTCGGCTTTTGAGCGATGCATTCTGGGTACCTGGTAAAAATTGGCAATAGGAGCTGCGTTTCAAAACACCATAGGAATTCTTAAAACTGGAAGGCAATAGAAAATCATATAATAGGCTGTAGAAAGCAAAGAAATTCATACAATCGGGATACAGTTCCTATCACCGGGCCATTCACTTCATTGCCCGGCTGTATCGCCGTCGGCTATAAAATGCAATAAGAAATTGTATGCCACGCTACAGAAGGTATAAGAGATCTTAAAACCGGCTGTGGGTCCATAGTATTTAGGAACGAAGATCTTACTGCCAATTTATACCAGGGTATACGATCGATATAGTTCAAATTGTAACCATTTCCCCGTTAAAAATGATCGGTGGACGGTGTAGCAGTTCGTCTAAAGTGTTTTGGCGCAGATCATCAGTAAACATCAATAGAGATCTAACTGCTAAGAGGTAGCAGTTAGAAGTATCAACAGATCTGGAACGATACTTGGTATCAGTTGGTACCATATATCAACTGATACAAAATAAATAATTATTGATACGTGCATTATTTTCTTGTGTAATTCAGTTTCTCAAGTTTACCTCACGAGTTGACGACCAGGACGGGCTGCTGTGAGCTACCGTTCTCGTGTTAGGTACTGTAACATAGCTTAGCAGGCAGCGCTCGTTCACATTCGGTCTCCCATCTAAGTACTAACTATGATCGGCGCTGCTTAACTTCGGTGATTGTCCAGGTGACAGAGCCACTACTCCTCTAGCGCGTGAGATCAGATTAGACGTACTTATGCTGTTTCAGGGCCCCTACTTGCACCATTTTGTCAGCAAGTGATGACTGTGTGTTGAATTTGAAGCGACACTTATTTCTTTTTACTTTCTTTTTCAATCACTTAAAGTGTGAGTGAAGTCTCACAAGTTATGTTTTTTATGTTTTTATGTTGTCTTTAAAAATGAGAAAGAAAATAAAGAAAAAATGATTAAAATTAGTTATCACCTAATAAGCAATTGAAAATAGAGATGTAAAACATTTAAAAACAAAAAATTAAAACTTTATTGGGGAGCGTTGATACATTTCCATTTTCAATTTATATAAATTTAATGTAAAAAATTGATCAAGGTAATTTTTAAGTGTTTTCATCAAATTATTTTTAAGTAATTTTTAGGTGTAAAGTATATAAAAAACATTTTCGAGTGGTGAGTGTTGAAGGAATCAATATGTAAAAATATAAATTTTAAGTAAAGAAAAAAATGAGCGAGGTAATTTTTATGTGTTTTTTCGCATTCTTTTTGCGTAATGATAAAGTAAAAATTATGTTAAAAAAAGTCTCAAATTGTCGCCGGTAAAAATTTATTTTCATAAAATTTATGTAAATTTCACATGAAGAATTTTTAGTCTCGCAAAAATATGTCTATTTTCTTCTTAAATTTTTTGATATGGATGTTAGGTAAAATTTGATTACCAAGAATATTTTTCTAAAGTTTAATTTACGTTCGTTTTAATATATTTTTTACGTGAATACATTTTTTCGTAATTTCCAATATTTTCTGTAACTGAACAGATCGTGCAAGTAAAAGGTAAGAAGAAGTTTTTTGGCACTCAGTTGAAGCAGTAAAGTCACTGAGGTTATAGCAATGCGCACGTAAATTTTTCAACAAATTTTCAAAATTTCCGAAATTTTGTGAAAAAAGTAATTTTTTTCTCTATGTTAAGGGGTTTAGAGGTTCAAACTCGGTGTTTTGCCTTGTAAAATTTTGTGTAGAACATTTTTGGTTAAAAGACAATTTTCCGTATCTTTGAAAATTTTCGAGTAGGTAAATCGTCGCTTTTTGAGAGCACCTCCGGACCCTTCGATTTTGGACACGGCGGCCATTTTGAATATGTTGTCCCGGGATAAGGACATTTTGATTGTTGTCCCAGGGACCCTAGAAGAAACCCCGAAAGTTTCAGGGTGGCACGCGAAAGTGACTTCGTAGCCCCTAGACTAATACGAGTAGGTAGGTATCTAATTCATTCGTAAAACAGTAACAGTATGCTTTCAACTCTCTGCACTGTCTCGGATAAGATGAATGAATGTGAAGCTTTGAATCAGCTTCATCGTTGTCAGGTAAATATTACGCTTTGTGGGAAAATCAATTTATTACATTGAAAATAAAGACGTCACTGCTAGGTATGTCCGTGTTTAACTCTTTTTACAACACTCATCGCCAACAGACTCTTATGTCACCAGCCAGCTCTATACCAACGCCAAGTATCTGTTACATCCAGAGCTTGAAGTTATTTCAAAAGACACACTAAAATTTGCAGACCCCTCCTCTGAAGTATTTTCGCAAATTTTCATTTAGACACCGAAATTCCTGTAGTTCTTACTGTGCAATAAGTATAGAATGTCTACTCTCGGAGCGATTACTTCGAGTCAGTTTCAGTAAATATTGATCTTTGAATTAAAAACATTAATTAAATTATTAGGATCGGAGAATTAGGTAAGGAGCAAACTAGTCCTATTTGATTCGTGTTTTTGTTCGAAGGTTCCACTCGCCACACATTTTGTTTCAGTAAATATGAAAAATGTCACGGGGAATTTCCACTCTATCGCTCAGATTTTTTTTTCCTTGCCTGTAGTTCTGGGTTCAAATCAAACTGAGCACATTTGAAAATTAGTTTGTACACTGGACAAAATAGTAGCCATTAAACTATTACGAAACTCCCTCTGAGAAAACAACGTGAAAAATCTAGGTAGGTATAGAAGTGTCACCGTAGGTACCTATTTTTGAAACTACCGGAACTATGAGCAAGCCTCACTTCTTATATCATCAGCAATTGGTCGACCTAAAATAGACGTTTGATACTTTTTACGGTGACAAGAAGTGGATAATCAGAATTTGTTCACATGTTAAGTGATAAGATATCGGCCATCTTGCCGAAAATTCGTTTCCAAACTATCAGATTTCAGACCGTGCTTGAAGTATTAATATGGCCCGCCTGGGTTACTAGTAGGTACTTTTGACTTTGTTTTATGACTTTGGAAGATTGTTTTCGGTACAAACATTTGTCAATGATTTATTTACAGATTGAATTATCGATTTTCCAAAAATAATCCACCTTAAAGTTAAGAAATGAGATATATCGATCGTAGGTACCAAGAATGCATTGCGCAAAGGCTGAAGATCCATTTTAAGGCTCGAAACCGTCGGATTAATATCAAACCTCACGCCCTCTTTTGGGAAACATATCGGGTAATCCAAAAGTCCGGGACCCCCGTTATAACTTTTAAACGAAAAATGCCAGAGATTTGAAATTTAGGGAATGTTCCTAGGTCAAAGCGAACTACTTTTTGACATACCCAAAATTTCAGGGGGCGGTCCCCCTAAGGGGACCCTAACTTTTTTTTCAAATAGGAACCCCTATCTTTTGATACATCATTCAAAAGGGCTTAAAAAGAGAAAATTGTTGGCGTAAACCGATTGTCGATTTCTCAATTTTTAACAAAATGGCGGTCAAAAATGGCGGCAAATGCGTTTCTTGGTTATTTACCGACGGACTCGCATGAAACTTGATTTCCATGGGTTTTCGGGCATGAGATAAACAAATCCGATCTAGGATATGCAAACCATCCGAGCCTTTCCAAGATGGCAGCCAGAAATTACCAAAACACACAATTTCCACCATTTTTTGGTCGTCATTATGTTAGGAATTGAGATATCGACAATCGGTTTACGCCAAAAATTTTCTCTTTTTAAGTCCTTTCGAATGATGTATCAAAAGACGGGGGTTCCCATTCGAAAAAAAAATTAAGGTTCGCTCCCTCCTAGGGGGACTGCCCCCGAAATTTTAGGTACCCAAGAAGTAGTTCCCTTTGACCTCGGAACATTCTCCAAATTTCAAATCCCTAGGATCTTTCGATCATAAGTTATGAGGGGGCCAAGATTTTTGGACAAGCCACCATTTTGTTAAAAATTGAGATATTGACAATCGGTTTACGCCAAAAACTTTCTCTTTTTAAGCCCTTTCGAATGATGTATCACAAGATAGGGGTTCCTATTTGAAAAAAAAGTTAGGGTCCGCTCCCCCTCAGGAGGCCGCCCCTCCGAAATTTTGGGTATGCCAAAAAGTAGTTCGCTTTGGCCTCGGAACATTCCCCAAATTTCAAATCTCTAGTATTTTTCGTTTAAAAGTTATAAGGGGGGTCCCAGATTTTTGGATAACACTGTATACTAGAACGCTTTGAATTATTCCATAGGACACTGTAGAGTGCTTTCCGTCAATTTTTCAAAATATCTACTTTTTCAATCCAACTTAAGAAAATTGCTCCTTTGAAAAGTTGGGCTGTGCTTTGATGAAGCAGCCTTATACAATTTTCTGACAATCCGGCATTTTTTTCCTATGATGCTCTTAAAAATTGGTCCTGAATGTGTCAGGAAGAAATATTGTAACAGCAATCTAGGATAAGTATAAAAAAAATCAAAATAGAAGGAGACAGGAGACAACCATGCAAGGCTGAAAATTCATGTGTTAAAAACGCAGTAACGTTTCTGGGTCCTATCAACCCTATGTTTGATGTTACCTACATACATATGTAGATTTTCTCTTTCATTATTTTTTTTTAAATTTTATCCTGCTGAAAATGGAGTTGTGAAGACCCCGCAACCAGGGTTGACCTGGACACGGGTGCCAGAGTGCTGAAGCCCCCCAGAAATTCTGACGGGTGGATCAGAGGGCCCCGGTAGGTTTCTTTTAGGGGCCCCCAAAACTTGAAAACCCCACATAAAGAATTA